GCTGATGCTCGTGATGCTCGTGATGCTGGGCTGGACGTGCCAGGAACTTGGGCGGCTGATGCTCATGATGCTGCCCGCAGGGCTTGACGAGCCAGCTGATGCTCGTGATGCTCGTGATGCTGGCTAGGCGTGCCAGGAACTTGGGCGGCTGATGCTTGACGAGCCAGTTGATGCTCGTGATGCTCGTGATGCTGGGCTAGACGGCTAGACGTGCCAGGAACTTGGGCAGCTGATGCTCATGATGCTCCGACCGCTGCGCTTGACGAGCCAGCTGATGCTCGTGATTCTCGTGATGCTGGGCTAGACGGCGAGACGTGCCAGGAACTTGGGCGGCTGATGCTCATGATGCTCGCCCGCTGCGCTTGACGAGCCAGCTGATGCTCGTGATGCTCGTGATGCTGGGCTGGACGTGCCAGGAACTTGGGCGGCTGATGCTCATGATGCTCCGCCCGCAGGGCTTGACGAGCCAGCTGATGCTCGTGATGCTCGTGATGCTGGGCTAGACGGCTAGACGTGCCAGGAACTTGGGCGGCTAATGCTCATGATGCTCCGCCCGCTGCGCTTGACGAGCCAGCTGATGCTCGTGATGCTCGTGATGCTGGGCTAGACGGCTAGACGTGCCAGGAACTTGGGCGGCTGATGCTCATGATGCTCCGCCCGCTGCGCTTGACGAGCCAGCTGATGCTCGTGATGCTCGTGATGCTGGGCTAGACGGCGAGACGTGCCAGGAACTTGGGCGGCTGATGCTCATGATGCTCGCCCGCTGCGCTTGACGAGCCAGCTGATGCTCGTGATGCTCGTGATGCTGGGCTGGACGTGCCAGGAACTTGGGCGGCTGATGCTCATGATGCTCCGCCCGCAGGGCTTGACGAGCCAGCTGATGCTCGTGATGCTCGTGATGCTGGGCTAGACGGCTAGACGTGCCAGGAACTTGGGCGGCTAATGCTCATGATGCTCCGCCCGCTGCGCTTGACGAGCCAGCTGATGCTCGTGATGCTCGTGATGCTGGGCTAGACGGCTAGACGTGCCAGGAACTTGGGCAGCTGATGCTCATGATGCTCCGCCCGCTGCGCTTGACGAGCCAGCTGATGCTCGTGATGCTCGTGATGCTGGGCTAGACGGCTAGACGTGCCAGGAACTTGGGCGGCTGATGCTCATGATGCTCCGCCTGGGCTTGACGAGCCAGCTGATGCTCGTTTAGCACGTCGCTGGGCTATTGGGCGGCTGATGCTCATGACGCTCGCCCACTGGACCCGAAGACGATTCGCTTAATAGAGTGGAGCCACTGTTTGTGATAAGCAAGGCACGTGTGGAGCAGAGCCTTGGGGCTAGGCCGAAACCTCGCTACAGTCTTGCCCATTCAAAAGTGCGTCTTCAGCAACCCGACTGCCCTTAGGTGTTTTAGAATTTTTTTAGACCTTTAGATTGTTGTTCTAGCAGGCCCGCGATGGGTTTTGTTGAGGGTGAATGCTTGGGGTTTGAAGGCTTGACAGACACTCCTAGAGCGGACCTCTTGAGCCGAGCATGGGGAGCTTGGCTGGGGGAGTGCCTTATTCAGCATCCTGTAAGGGGCCTGTTGTATGTACTTACATATTGCTCGTATAGGATTCCCCCACTTGTTGCTACTGTAATCTGTTCTCATCCGAGGAATCCGCCTGTGCGAAATGCGGGAGCCTGCTTCCAGCAGATGCCAACTTCTGTCGGCATTGTGGGCAGCAGCGGGGCAAGAAGTCCTCCCAGGTGTGCGGTTGATTTGCCTGTGTGGGAACAACCTGATGTTGAGGGGCGAGCTGATGTGCCTTCACAAGGCTGCGGGCCCAGTGCCTCCAAGTGGTCCTGTCGCTCCCGTGCAGCCCTTGGGCCACTGTAGAGCGTGGATGGGGAACCCATGAAAACCCAGAAAAACAGAAGAGCGGCCCTTTTTTTCCTTTTCTTCATTTTGTTCGTGTCCAGACTCGCGAGTGGATTGGAACAGCAGTTGTAGTGTGCTCGGAACCCTTGCCTCCCACGTGCCCGAAAATTCCATGACATATCGCAGGATTCTGCTTGTAGCAGGCCGGACGGGCGAAGTCCAAGCAAGCGGACAAGCCGCGCTTTCGCCACTCGAAGGCGCTGGGGAAGCTGAAGGTGGGGCTTCAGCGGATGCTGCCAACATGCACTCCGCGCTTGCACATACCTTGCATTGATAGATGTGACTCACAGGAGATGGGCTATGCAGATTGCGAGGAAGTTCGGGATGCCACTCAGTTGCAAGAAGGCGGCTCATCGACAAACCCGTGTTGGCGGCTTATGAAGGCTGTGTTTCCAAACTTGGTGTCGGGGAGTGGCGAGAGTGAGAGTTCAATATCATGTGCCATGTCATGAGAAGCTTTCAGGTCTTGACGAAGTGCGGCGGCGACTTAAATGCTGCGCTGAGAGAGATCAACGGCCCTGGTGCCCGAGCCTAGCGGCACTTTGAAAGAGACACTCCAACGAAGTTGTGTACCCACAAAGCTGCACAATGTCAAGAGTACTGTGGAGAATAGAGAAAGTCGTTGGCATCATGAAGACCTTGCAGCACCCTGTGTTTGCTCTGACCTTGCTGCACAATTTGATGCATTGCATACGTTTTCTGCCAGGGCGGGGGTTGTGGCGATTCTACATGTATGCGCTGCATGCTCTACATCTGCCAAGCGCACGTTCGTTGTTCGTGACCCCAAGCTCTGCAATTCACTGCCTGTGCCAGCAGGCGTGTGTCTTGTACATTGAATTAGTTTGAAGCATCAGGAGTGTTTGTATACAGTGTCGCATTGGAGGGGCTGTCAAAATGACTTTCGACGCTGGTGTGCCTGGTGAGTCTTCATCGTCCCATTGTGACGAGCAGATGCCGGGTGGCGGCAAAGGACTGTGACGCCTGTGCTATCTGCCATTGTAAAACCTTTCCAATGCTGTTGCATTCCAGTCTCAAGTAGTTCTGCTCCCAAGCCGCTCACTTAATTATAGCATGATGGCAGTATATGGGAAGCGAAAGCCACACGGACAGATCCTATCGTTGTGACTCAAGACCTTGTCAAGTATGTTTGTTAGTATTGTTTCAGTATAACATAGGCGCGGCTAAAGACTTTGCCATGGCGGCCGTCGAAGTGGCACGGGTTATGGCGGAGGCTGCGCAGATGGTGGACGAAGCCTGGAAGGAGCTTGCAGGCTCAGGCCGCCTCTGTTTTCCTGTCAAAGTCCTGCTAATCTCGCTTGTCTCGTTTCATTTCAAAGGTGAGTCGGAGGGTGGCACGAAGTCGCCCAGTTCCTTTCGAGCCCCAGCCCTAGCTTGCCAGGTGGAGCAACATGAGCACCGTTCTGATAGAACCTGATGGAATGCATGTTCGGCAGGAAAGTATGCGGACGACCCAGAGGAAGCCCACGACCGAGGGATCTGGCCATCTTGGAAGAGCTGCCTGAAGACTGGAGTATGCTCAGTATATCTCAGTATTCTCATGCGGGTTCCGAGGGGCAAATGGAACGGCCGGGTGTCCGACCTGACTATGAAGGAATATCGTGACATGAAGCAGCTCGGCGGACCTCACCTGAATGTTGCCATGTTTGTGACGCCAAACCTTGGCACTCCTCACTCCTCTTTCAAGGTGGGGAATGGACGCTGTGGCCTCAGCTCAACGAATCTCGAGCAACTGAGTATGGCTTTAGTGGTGCGCCGGGTCTTGGAAAAGAAATGCATGTGATTTCACCGAGGCCGGATACAGGGCAGCCCTTCGCGTAGGGCGCGGACCTAAGTCAACACCTACCGTGAATGCTTACAGTATGGCGATGGTTGGAGCATGTGCCGAGGCCAAAGTGGAGCATGCGCGGCTCCCTTTCAAAGCCACTGAGAACGAACTCGGACGAGCGGTTCTGAGATTCAGCTGCCTGCGGTCCAAGACTGTGCAAAGCAGATCTACACTCTGTCCAGGGCATGCTTCCAACGGATCCGGCGAAAGCATACGATGCGTTGGGGCCTGAGCTTGACAGGGACACGTCCTCGATAGCTGCGTTCGGCTCGATAGCTGCGTTCGGCTAACCGGCTAACCTGCCAGTTGCTACAACACCGCTCCGAAGTTCACCATCGGCAAGTCACTGATCGGCGTCATGTGCCTCAGTTTCTGTACAAGGTCCTGTTGTTGTGAGGGTTCTTGCATGTTCTTGCTCAATCTCACTTAAGCTCGAGTGGCACGAGGCTGCAGATCCATTAGCGAACAACCCTGGCCCGCAGTATCTGGTGCCAAGCACCATGCCAGAAGCTCAGCGCCAAGGCGGGCTCACGGCCCTCTTTTTTCAGACTCGCCGTGATGAGAGGAACCCATCCGGTCATCCGACCATTTGGAAGAACTCAGGAGCTCCGTTCGTTCCGAGCGCTGCTCAGCGCCGTCTTGCATGCAACAGTGTGGAAGCACGGGCCCGTGAGGAGCAAAGTTCGGTTCAGAGACGCTCCAGGTCAATGACGAGGACGTGGCAGCAAGACCCCCCTGGATACTGAGGTTGTCCAAACCCCCAATTTCTTGGGCCAAATTGGGGAGTTGCATTGCCAGCAGCTTTGCAGTTTCCAGAAAACAGCAGTGCATGCCTTAAGCTGTCCCACCTGCCTTAGAATAGTTTTCATAGTTTTGTGTGGGGTTTCCAGATTCCGCATCTGCGCTTGCACTTTCATGCATTGTTGGTTCCAACTTGCGGAGCGCGTTAGGAGGCACAGGAACCACAGCCCTTCATTTGTCTTCAAGGTATATCCTGTTCGGGTGAGCGCTTCTTCAAGCAACATTGGCAAATCCTTATCGAAGCTTCAATGGAGTAGGTGCCACTGGGGCCAAAACGTGTCGAGATGCTTTCGGCTCAGGCACAGTCAGGATACCTTTTCTGGCTACCTTCCACCCAAGTGGCAACCTGCCCGAGCCTATGTCGGAGGGGCAGATTGGTAGTACCACTCGCCTTCCTCCGCCTTTCTCTGCCTTCCGCCTTCCGCCTTCTGCCTTCCTTCGATGATGGACAGGCACTGGGTTTTTGACTTCCTCTTGGAGTGCAGCAGAGTGCAACGGAGTGCAACGGAGTGCAACGGAGTGCAACCTAGGGCAGCAGCCGTTTGGTTGTTTGTTTGTTTCGCAAACGCTTTCAACGGACTCCAGCACGTGCGGTTCGAGCTTTCACAGCTTATATATCACAGGGAGCCCTAAACTATAGACCCGAACTCTAAACCCAGACCCACCTTCCTGGGTACGTTTTAGTTTACAGTTATTGGTGAGTGCATAAATGGCTCCTTCTCAGTGCTACATGGCGTCCTACTGCGGACACAAGCAATAGAAACTCTGCCTCCAATCGCAAAATCTTGAACCCACCAGCAAAACTCCAAATCCTACACAACTCACTCAACCAGTCCCGTCATGAGAGCGCTTGGGACAGCCCTTTACAATGGCATTACAAAGCAAGCTTTGAACAAACTCTAGCCGTTGTCTCTCCACAGCTGCTTTTTGTCCTTCGGGCTCTTCAAAACGATGCCCCCTCACCATCTAAGATAGGCGAAACGCTCGAAGTCAAAGGTAGCCGTCCAAGTGAGTGTTCCGCTTGCTGTTTTGCACATGCAAAGCCGTCGTTGCTACCAAACAAGTGCGCAACCCTGTTCCGAACATAGACTCCGGAAGTTCTGGTCGGGAGAGGCAGATCCTCTTCCTGTCCCTGCTCGTGCTGACAGGCATCTGTTGGAATGTCTTTCCCACTTTTTCCCACTTTTGCATGCCATTGGGGTGGCCTTTGTTGGCAGGCACTGCGAACCAGTGGGATCACATCTACTCAGAAAAGCGCTGCTGCAATGCTGAGAGCCACGACAAGCTGCTTCAGTGTGCCTTGCTGTTGTCCTCACAGCGTCCAAAGATTTGAGATAATGGTGCTAGGTGCTAGGGCAGCAACCAAAAAACAACTCGCACAGGTGCGAACTCTTCAACTCACCGATCATCTGCGAAGATCCACCTGGTGAGTTTGGCCACAGCAGACATTCACAGCTATGCCGCTGGGCAGGAATGAGAGACCGGAAACTCTTCTTTGGTATTTGAAAAATTGCTTAGTTTGGAGTCAGCTGCCAGGCTGTCTATGTGGCAGCCATCAATTCTGCACACGCAGCGTCGTTTGGCAACAGCTTCCAGCTGGCCACGGGGAGCTTTCGACTGGGACCTGATCTGAAGCTGCTGTGGAGAGCTGGCAATGTCGCTACCATCTTGGAGGCCCTGAAAGCGGCTTGGCCACGCTAGTGCCACGCTGGTGCCATGCTAGTGCCATGCTTAGCCATGCATCGATACTGATGGGGCCGGCTTGGCGTGACCCACCAAGGTGAGCTGCGGTTGTTTAGGCGCTTCTTGAAAGTTACTTTAGTACGGAAATCTATTTTGGGTTTGTGCTCAGAATGAGCTCCGCGCTGTGGCCGCGGAAGCACGCGGAAGGTTTGGCGGAAGCATCTTCCCGCGGAAGCTCCGTCTTAAGCATAACCTTTGAACCTTTCAACCCCAAGTAGGGTAATCTAACATATAATCGCAAACCCCTCGAAACATGCCTGCCATGGTCCTAGATGCCATAAAGCTTTGACAGTCGTGCGCGGACAGTGTACAAGCTTCGGTTTCAACATCGACTGTCGGAACTTCATGGAACACGTGCCTAAGACTACAAACGTACTGCGCGGAAGGAACTGTACGAATTCACGCGAAAATGGCTCCGCGGAAGCGTCCGCGGAAGGGCGCTTTCAAAAAATGCCCGCGGAAGCTACCTTTCGAGGCACGGAAGGTCTGCGGAAGGGTTCCGCGGAAGGAAATAGATTTCCATTAAAAACACCATCAAATAAAAACCATGGCTCAGGTGGCCTCGGAGGCAACCTGGGTCGCATACCTCGATGCAGATGCAGCGGTTGTCGACTTCAGCAAAGATGCACTCAGTGCCGTGGTGGAGGCACATGCATCGGAGGAAACTCACTTGTTGGTGAGTCGTGGAGAGCTGATCGGACCGGGGACATCCAGCATGTTCAACTCGGGATTCCTGTTGGTGAGACAGCATCCGTGGGCTCACGATTTCGTCGAGCTGTGGCTGTCCAAGCTTTCTTCTTCGTCCCAGAACGACCAGGAAGTGCTGGAGAAGCTCTATCGGCAAGGCACGCTGAATGAATCCCGAATGCCCCTAGACTAGGCTGTTAAACTCTCAGGAGCACACACTGCTGAGTTCGAATCTTTAAAGAACAGGTTCCCCATTCACAAATGTAACGACCGGACAAAGCCCGAAACATTACGGAAAAATTGTGTAGCATACAGTAGCTGCGCAAGACACCCACTTGTCCCAAGACGCCTTGGGCTGCCGGCGTCATGTTGGTATCCTCCCCATGGGCCTGGTCTATAGCGAGATCGGAAATCCCATCTCTGGGCCGCCGGACCTGCAGCACGTGGTCCACTTGGCAGGTGTTCCCGACGAGGTGCGTCGTGGCGTCTTCTCTGCCTTCTGGAGGGACCTCTGCGACGGGGGCAAGGAATCCATGGCCCTGCCAGGCAGCACCTCGCCTGAAAGTTGTACCCGTAGTCCGTAATGCAAAAAGTTGCCTCTTGGAAAGTGTGGGGTGCCTACCCTTGCTCCGAAGCAAGTAGGAACCGAAGCGATTAGCAAGTATTCTGGAGAAAAGAATTGGAACAAATTGGAATAGATTAAGAAGTGATTGGGAGAGACGGCCCCAAGACTTCACATCAAAGCAATCCTCTTCTGGACTCGTGCCATCCATTCCGCTCTGAAAGATGCTCGCTTGAACGGCCAGGGACCCGAAAAGTGCAAAGGCTGGCCGGCAGATAACTTGCTCGCCCTTCTGTAGACATGGCTTTGCTGCAAGCCTGGAAACTTGTTCTTTATCGAACATTGCGCACGGCCACCAACAGAACCTTATGTGGTTTAATGCTTTGCTCTGAACATTTTGGTGAGCCTAAAGAGCCCAGGCGTGGGGCTGCGTGAAGCGTACCTCCAGCAAATGGCAGCCTTCCTGCACAACAGCAGCACAGGACTGGGACAGGGCGGACTTTTCCGAAGCATCACAGTTGTTGGCAATGAGCAGCCGTGGCATGAAAAGTCATGTCAGTCAATTCCTTCGTGGAGTTGGACACCCGCCGACTTTTCCTTGCTAACGAAACCAGTCCTACAGCTTGCATCTGCTAGGCCCTGTGGGTTGATCAGTGCCAAAAACATCAGGGGACTCATGCTTGCTATGCTCTGCTGCCAGGAGATGGCCTCGAGGTCGATGTGCTTCTCGGCTGTCCCAGCTTGAATGGACAATTGCGTTTTCTGCGTCCGCTGCAGGGCTTTAGTAAAAAGGATGAGCATGCAGGTCTGATGTCGGCCGTGCATGCATTGTGGAGTCAGAGTAAGCAGGAGAGAAAAGCATGTTCATGTGTGAACCTCCTTTGCAAGGTGTCAGACATCTGTGAGTCCGCGGCAGTGTTTGGAGGCTTGGGATTGGGACGCATAAATGTCTCATCTGTCTCATCCATGGATTCAGTTTGTCAGTTCCAGTGATTCCAAGAAGGCTGCGGAGCGGTTGGCCTTTGGACTTCAGCTGCAGAACCGGCAAACAGAAGCCGTCCCCAGTCGAGAGCAGTTTCTCCATGTCTTCGGGGGCTTTCCGGAAAGATGAGGGAAGTACAGTCTGGGGCAAAGGGGCAGTTGAGCACAGGCTCTGATGATGAGATGGTTCCGACAAGCATTAGCACTGCTTGCTGGCTCGTGTTCTGCGTGGGCTTTCAATATGTTGTGTCCGACGTCAGTTCAGGTGCTAAAAGAGGGAACGCGACCTGACGTTTATCCGTCAATCAACCAGTAATGTTGCAATGTCAAAGAGATGCACAAATTGAGTGTTGGGTTTTGTTTTGGCTACGCTGCTGAAAGCAACACGTCCGAAGCTGGTTGTGTGGTTACTGACAGGTGCGAGTAAATTGTTCCGTGCGCACAGGATTTTGACAGCCATCGTCCCAGGTCATGTGGGCTTCAGGGGCGTTGCTGGGCCGCGAGCGCCGCCTTGGCGCGCTAGACGAGGACACGCTGGCCAGCCGAAGCACCCTCGCAACCGTTGCCCGGCTCAGAAACAAGCACGGCACAGCAGTAAATGCAAGATCAGACCAGGCCGGGATTTCGCCCCTTCCAATGCCAAAGAACAGTGAAGTGTTTTTTTGTGCTACTCGAAACGGGGTGGCACCGGTGTCTCCCCAAGCCCCAAGCCCTATCTACAACCTTCGTGCATGCTTGCCCCCGAAGCCAGAACATGTCATAAAGGAGGTTTCGCACAAAATGAAGGCCTGATTTGTTTTGGCTTACGAGGCAACAATTCCCGGACTAAGCCCTTCCGACGCAAGTTTTGATTCGGGATGGACATAGGTATTGACTTCGTTTGAGTTCGTTTGACTTCGCTTTTCTTTCAGATCCAAGGTGATGGAGGCTGCAGGACGCAAGGAGGCCGGTATGCTCCACGTAGGTTGGATGGGCTCACCAGTGTTCTCGTGCTCGCTCTAAAGGAGGCGCTGGCCTTCCACGAGGCTGCCTGGCAGGGCCGCCAGGTCACGTACGGTCGTCATCACCGTGCAACGCTGCTTAGTGCCGCAAAGCTTGGATCCCACTTGCTGGCACAGAGCAGGCAGGGGGTTGAATGTAAAAACAGAGAAACTTCCTGATCAACATCCTGGTTTAAGAGGCTGCAGGAGGCTACGGTGCATCTTCAGGCGGCACAGCAGCTGGCGGAGATGTTGGGCCCACAGCACTCGAGCAGCATTACTGCAGCTGCTGCCCTCGCACTGGCCTACGCCAAGCAAAGCCGCCTCAAAGAAGCACTCCTGCTGTACCAACGCACTGCGCGCTTGGCGGCTCAAGGCCTGGGCAAGCACCATGCGACAACTCTCGACTTGAGGCTGGGGGTGGCAGACGCGCTGCAGAAGCTGGGCCGACATGACGAGGCAGCTGCCGCCGGGGCGCGGCTCCTGCGGGCGCAACGTGCCCTGGCCGTGCCCTCCCACAACGACCAGCTCCGCTTGGCACGTGCCCTGGAGCTGACGGCTGGAGCGGCGGGCGGAGCAGGCCCCGGCCCCAAAGCTTCAGCTCTTCCGAAGCGCCTGGAGCTCATGCAGGAGGCGGCCGAGGCACAGAGCTTAAGGCTTAGGGTCAACAGAGGAAGAAGACGGGAAGAAGACTAGAAGATGTGTACGTTCGAATCCTACTGTCTTCGATTCCACCACAATTCCACCCCCTCATCCCCCCCCCCCCCCCTCTGCATGGCAGGTGTACGCCAAGGTCGGTGCCAAAGCCTCAAGTGTCTCGGCCCTACGCTCCACCGCCGACATGCTACAAGCAGCCGGGCGCGCGTCGGAAGCAGAGAGTTGGTTCCGGCGAGCACTGGCAGCTGCAGAAGCCGAGAGATATGAGGGCTCTGAGGGCTCCGAGGGCGTCTCTCCTGCCTCTGCCGCGGCCTCTGCCGCGGCCTCTGCTGCCTCGGCCAACAATCTGGCCATGCTCTTGCGTGGGCGTGGGAGAGGCTCCGAGGCTGAAGGCCTGTTGCGGAGTGCTGCACAGGGCTTCGCACAGGCTCACCAGCGAGGCGCTCAGCTGAGGCGGGACACGGAACCTCTCAGCTAAAGAAGCTGGTAGAAGCTGTTTCCTTGCCAACTGGGGCCAACATCCCTGCGCAGGGCACTGGGCAATCTTGCAGACATGCTGAGGGCCAGTGGGCGCGGAACGGAAGCGTTTCAGGCCATGGCTTAGCCTTTGTAGGCCACTTAGGTCCAGATCAGGATACAGGACGGGCACTTGCAGGGACTGATGGGACTTCCGTCATATCATCGGCATATTTCGAGGTTGCTTGTGGATTGGTATGTCGCTTCTTCCCCAGATTCCCTAGATTCCCTACAGTCTACCGGTCCTTTGGTCTGCTGGTCCTGTTGTGAGCTGCGTGGGGTGACTTGAATGCTGAGGACAGAAGGCCAGAGTATGTCCTAGGGCCCGCAACGCACCTCAGTGGCACCCCGCAGCTGTCAATCTTCTGTATCAACATGCAATGCCTGGAAGCACATGAAGAACACTGTTGCAAAAGGTCCCCCACCTCCCCCTCCCTGCCGCACAACCCTTTGTGTCATAACCAAGACGGACAAACAGATAAGCAAACAAATGCGCACAAGCGCGGCCCATTGTTTTCTCGCCTTCAGTTTGGCTCGTGCAGGTCTCCAAACATGTGCTACAAAATATCGAGCAGATGGACAGCGAAGATGATGCCTCCCAGCTCAGTTTGAACGTGTGTTGATCTAATGACTGCCATATGCAAAGCATGGTCAGTTGCAGAAAGGAACGCAAGTCGCCTGTACCGAAGCCAAGCAAGGGTCCTTGACTGGGTTGCGGAAAGAGTCTTCGTGGAAGGTCCAGTGTGAGATGGGGGAGTCCAATTCTGAAGTCTCATGGGTCAGTCGTTTCTTTCATGTGGACGTTTTGTACTTGACATTTCGGAACCCAATCTTCTAGCGGCCCTGAACTAGAAGCAAGGTCTCTTGAGTCTTATAGTAATGTAGCTGCTAGCTACCTCTTTTGTCGCCCCATCTCTTCCTTTTCACTTTAAAAAAGGCGGGTCAGGGATGGTCAGGGTTTGGTGAGCTTCTAAAGACAAACGCGAGGTGCTCACGGCCAAGAGCAACCACGCGCTCTTGCTCTACAGCCTCCGCCGGCAAGCCGAAGCTGAAAAGCTGTACCTGGAGGTGCTGACGCACGCCGCGCCTTGACACGTTCAGCAGATGAGGGGGGGTGGCCTGCGATATGCTAGCTGCTCTTGAAGGGTTCGCACGGTGTTCCTTGGCTTCTGAGCTTCTCGCTTCTGTGCTTCCCGGGGTCTGGTGCACAGAGACATCGCTGCATTTTTTGGGTTTCCACCACTTCGCAGAAACACATCACAGAAATGCCCCAGCCTCGCCCGAGGAGCGAGTCTTCGGCACGCACTCCAGCCAGGCCAGCTGCGAACGACGGTGTCCCAAGCATCCTAAGCTGATTGGAGCGAATATGAGCGAATCTTAAACGCATGGCGATGGCCCCAAACCAGCTCGAGCCACAGGCTTGATGAGTTTTCGAGGGCTAGGTTTCAGTCATTTTCAGTGTGGGCCGGAAGTGCTACGGTTGCAGAGATTGGGGCTCCCCGGCGGAAGGCTTTGTTGTTGTGCGGAGGCAGCCGCTGCACGTGCAGACCTACAAGAGCTTCGTCGCCGGGAGGCGATGCACCTGAAACATAGGGCATAGGTTGCTTCAGTGCCGATTGGTGATGGGGAATCAGTCATGGGTTTCTGAGTAAATATTGTTTGTGACTCGTGCACCTGGTGTTCGCAGGCTGCGAGCTCAACAGTGAAAAGTGGCAGGGGACTGAGCAGATGCAGTTTCGAGCTGGGATAGACATTGATGCCAGCTGTAGAACCACGGGCCCAAGGGCCCTTTCGGGGTGGGATTCTGATGAGCAGTGAGTGTGGTCCCTTTTGGTTCAGGACCCTTACCCATTCCTGCGGACAATGGCGGCGGACGACAGCCCGCGGAGTTGTGATCCGAGAAAAGGTTGTCATTCCACGCCACACCACATTCGGACATGCTGTTCACAATTGCCCCGAGTTGTTGCATGTTTGCGTTTGAGCTGGCTAAGTCGGGATTCCGAACCAGCAGGACGGGCCAGCACCTGGGCAGTACGACCAGAATGCGTCAGGCTCAGCTGAAATCCCTGCGGGAGAGACTCTGGGCTTCATCATGCGCACATTGTGCCGAGAAGTAAAGTATGCAGCAGTTATTGTAGCTTCGTCCGAGCGCAAGCCTCCTCTTCAACAGAAGCAGTTGCTTAGAGCGACAACGTGCTCTTTGTTGCTCTGTCACTGTTTCGGATGCTTCGGGTTGACCTACAAGCATGGGTTTGCCTCGGGTGGTGACAGGCCCCTTTGGGGAAAAATGGTGCTGACACAAGCTGGTTTCACTAAGTAAGGAGGAAGCATGTAAGTATTGCTAGTAGCAGCCAGAGCATGGGTCGACCTTGCTCAGTCGCCTTGGTAGCTTTAAATCCGTGTGATTCGTGTGATGCGGCACGTTCGCTCGCTTCCACCATTCTGGAAGCCACTTGAGCCGCTTGAGCCACTTGAGGCCTTCAAACACAGTGGTCAGATCCGGAGGGCTCCGGTGTACACAGCGCAGGGTCGCGAGGCTTGGATACACAACTGCCACCTGCTCCATGGCGACCGAAACAAGAGACTGAGAGGCCTGGCGAGAACCTGTGGCGGCTCCGGGACCAGTGCCAGGAGAGTGCGCCTGGCCGATGCATGCAGATGCCATCTGCTGTCGTGTTTGCCTCCGCACATCAAGCGGTGTACAGGTTTGTGATGGCTAGGACGTTCAGAAATATCTGTGTTGTGTGAGCATTGGCTTCTACCGGGAAGTTCGAAGGTACAACGTCGAAAAGGCTTTGCGCAACGGGAAGATCACTCCCTATAGGCCATGTCCGCTGCAGAAGCGAAACTGTGCAGAGAGCAAGGGCCAACATCTCCAGTCACGACAGGTGGACCATGCAGGGCAAGACAGAGCCCTTGTCGCCTGCGCGGGGTGCCTCCACGGCAGTTGGTTGATTAGGCAAAAGCCACTTCCTCTTCTGAAAGAGATACCGTCACAGTTCAGACATTTAGGAGGAATCGCTTTTTGCCCGAGGCGAGCGGGCCACCATCAAGCCAGGACCCGGTCATTACAAGCTCCCCTCCATCGGCGGAAGGTCGGAGCCCCAGACCGCACGGCACACGCCCCTTGAAATGGCATCGCACTTTTTGAAGTATCTGTTGAAACACACCTCTTGAAAGTTTTCAAGCTGGAGTGGCCTGGGAGGAATGCATACCCTCACATCGACAAGCCGCCCATGTGGAAGTTCTTGCAAGAGCCCCGGGGACTGTTGCCAACCTAGGACGGCATGGGGCCAGAGTCTCACCGCAGGCGTGCTGCATCTCCATTGTATCCCACGTGTATCCCCATGTTCAAGAGCAGTTCTCTTGCCAGTGCACCTGCGCTTGCCCCAGCCTTGCGAAGCAACCTGGGAGCATCAAGGGTTTCCGTTTGCGCCTTGTCAGTCCAAAACAAGCATGCACTGTGCTGACCCGAGCCCATTTAGCATGTTTTACTGTAGAAACTCCGAGTTTCGGGATAGCTTCCATGAGTTTCACAAGCTGCGCTTGTTAGCACCTGCTCGTAGGGTAGGTGTGACAGCGACGTTTTCCTGCGTCTTTGCTCACCTTCAGCGTCGATTCCGGAGTTCGTTCGCTGTGTCTTGCAAGACTCGAAAGGCGTGTTCCCGAGCGTTTCATTGTAGTCAAAAACAGCCCACACTTGCCCAACGTGCGTACCCATTGCTTACCTGCAACTGTGCACAGAAGACACACTTGGCCTCGTGGGGCTTTGGGCCCAGATGAAGCAATGGGCTGCTTTGCCGTGCTTCCTTGCGCTGTGCGGGGCCGAGCACGTTCTCCGGCTGCAGAGGCCCGGATTTACGCATGCGAGTGGTTCAACATCAAGAGCAAATTCCGGCTCGCTATCTAGCTTGATTGAAGTGAGTCTCCAAGCGACTCCGAGCCCTTATTAGAAACAGCTGCAAGGCATGACTTCCAGCCTACGACGGCACTGGAAAATCCCAACTCCACGGTGTTCCAGTCTTGGCCGACAAGGCCAGTCAAGAAGGGCGCAACATGGTGCAGCGATGCGCAAGGCAAATTGGGGCTTTCGATTCCCAGTAGGGCATCGGAACTCAGACCTCCCCAGGACCCAGACGGGCACGCACTTGGATCAGCTGTTGATGCTGCTACGACCACTGGCACACAGCAGCTTGCGATCTGAGGAGCTGAGGGATAGACAGCCACCTGACTTCTTCATGGTACCTGTGGTAGGTTAAACCTACAATGCGTGCTGTTCGCGTAGCTGCGACTTCATTGCCATCTCGTGATCTTTGGTGTACGTTCCTGTCTGCCGTGTGTGGGGGGTCCGTCAGACAGTTGAAGAGGTTTTTCCGAGCACAGAGTGACAGTTGGAGTTGAGAGGAGACCTTCGCCACTTCGCATGTCGTGTAGTGGAAGAGGTCACACCGACCGATCGGCTGTAATTTGGGCGGCTTTTGCCAGATGTTGGGATTGCTATGGTTCCCTCAGGGCTCATCGCGCCTGGGAGCGAAGATTACCTGTTCACAAAAATGGTCTTACATGTTGGCCAACGACACACGGAAGACGTGCAGTCCCAAGTGGTTAGCACTTTGAGTTTGCACCAATCGCTGGTGGAAGAGAGGGGCGACCCTGCAATCTCGATCTTCGTTGGTTCACACGATGGGAGGCCATCCTGGCGGGGTCCAACGCTGGTTCGCAAACAGCTTCAAGAAACGGTGGCAGAAAGTGTTCTTGGGCAGCCGCCTGGAAGGCAGCCCAGACCCAGCCTTCTGGCAACGGTGTCGGACGGTCTACGTCTTTATGTCAATTCTTGAAGTGCTTGAAGTGCTTGAAGTGCAGATTTCGGCTTGGTGTTGTTGTGGCTTGCCTGCGGGGTGTTCGCCGTTTGCTGCAGCTTCTGCTGTTGAGCATGATTTGCTTATCGAAAGCATTTGACATTGCACGAGCTGCTCTTTCTGCTTCTTGAGTGTTGTGTCCGTCACTCCAGACGAGCCTCAATCTGGCTCAGCTACTGCTCCAACTTACGAAAACTACCGAGCGGCTGCGCAGCTAAGTCAGGGTGCCTGTGTTACCCTGTGCCACCCAAGGAACTTGTTCTACACCGCTGCAGTGGAGATTGGCGTGCCGCCCCAGGAAGTTCAGCTCATCTTGGACACAGGTGGGCCATGGCGAGACACGCAGAAGAGACATGTGAGTAGTTGTTTGGTTGTCAAGCTCTCGCAGCTAGCCTGTCAACCTCGCTAGGCTCCTCGGATCTTTGGGTTTCTCATCGAGTGTTCCACCTCGACTGGTCCGACACATGGAGCTCCGAGGGCTATCCCGTCAACATGACCTACGGCATCGGTTCGATGAGTGGTGTTTACGGGCTGGACCAGGTATGTCTTCACACATCGCCCGAGAGGATGGGCAAACAAACCGTTGAAATCTGCAGCGAGCAACTCCGAGATATCTCGAGCAATTGTAACCCTTTTGCGCGCCGCGCCTCGGCAGCCGGGCCGGCCCAACGCGTGGGGGAGGAATCGCAGACGAAGACAAGCCAAAGTCAGACGTCGTTTGGTGCAGAGCCATACGCTTCATGAGTTCAGGAGGTAGGAGGGCTGGGGTCTGAAGCGGGATTTAGGGTTCGGCTTCGGTGAATCTTGGCAAAAGCAAAGATTCAATGGATTTGTTGGATGTTGTGTATCCCACACCAAGGCTTTAAGCCCTAGGGTTTTGTCACAGGGGGGCTTACGTCCAAAGATGTCTCCGAGTTGTCGGTTTCTGTCCCTTTTCCAAAAAAAAGAGGACCTGTATTCGTGAGCAGCCTGTCATCTACGGGCTCCAGACGCACGACATTCCTGACAAAATCCATGGTGTCCTCGGTCTGGCCTTTATCGGGCTTTCGCACGTGCACCATACATTCCTGCGGAACCTCAATAGGACAGGTTTGCGGGAGAAGCTGCATGGTCCAAGCTACATTACATGCACGATTGTGCCTTGAGATCACTTTCAGTCTCTATTTTAGTACAAGCAACCCAGGCATCCATGTGCCTGCCAAAGGAGCTTTGCCGACCTCGCCTTTGCGTTTGCATTGCGCAGGGGTGATGAGGAATCCCTGTTCACAGTGGGTAACTACGATGAGGTCCGGGCCCAGGAACATGAAGATCACAGGAGGGAAGGATGTTTTGGTTCGCGACTCCTGCGGTCAAGTCAGTCCGCTTCAGCGTTGGCAGGAATTCTTTTCAGTTTTGTGGTCTCAGTTCATGCGCAGGATGGGCCACATACACTGAAGGAGCGTATACCAAACTGTGTCTTGCTGCCTTCGCCAAGAGCTGCCAGCAGGAACGCCATGGTGTGAGAATTCGGTAGCCACAGATCCAGGAAACGAGCTCATATTGGGGGCTGAGGATGGTACCGCCGAAGCCATGCCTTCCTGTCAGGTCCTCGCACGCGGCTTCCAGGTCACTGGCATCGACGAAGACTCGGTTGTGCGCGCGGACGTGCTGAATATCTTCAGGCCGGGCCTGGCTGCAGCTTCTTTGTCGCTTTCGCGATGGTCATGCACGCAACGATAGCAACGTGTGACACGCAGTGGTGTGTACATGTGTGTACAGTTTTCAGCATACTGTTTCCCGCCAGTGACGAGACGAGCTGTTGGGAAAGATTCGTAGTCGCAAAACTTGTTCAGCTTGGACACTAGTTTTGTTGACTTATGTTGCTTCACTCCCTCTGACTCCCTCTGCACTCAGGGTCGAAGGCGAAGCAGGCCCGCAAGCAGGCTGGTGGCTCACGGAGGCCCGCGTGAAGGCCATTGGTGCAGCTGCAGCTAGTTGTCTGATGTAGTAGCTGTGAAAATTTGAGCGTGTCGCCCGACCGCCCAAGCCCCGCGGCAACTGTGTGCTGTGAAGCGGCCGCCCGACCGCCCAAGCCCCGCGGGAACTGTGTGCTGTGAAGCGGCCGTTTAGCCTTGGATGTCTGCAAGACGTTGCAAAAGAGTTTCTTTTAGCTTCAGCTGCTACCAGTGTATGTTGGAGCCGGAAGGCTCCTGAGCGTGCTCGAGAATTATTCACCACTGGTGGCACCGACTAGTCGATGCCATGAAGAAAGCAGCCCAGTCCCTCCTTTTTTGGGCTTCCCGCGAGTTTGACACCGGCCGTGATCACGACACAGGGCATGGACAAAGGCAGTGGCAAGGGAGTCCATAGCAGCCATAGCAAACATGCAACGACATGGAGACCGGCGCTCGTGGAGTCCAGGTGACTGCCCTGACGGCAACAGGGGACCCATTGTGAGTACATTCCGAAATCAAAATCTGTCAGCTCCTAGGTGCAAAACTGGTTTTATGTAGGAGAACCTTTCCTGTGATGTTCGACTTGTGGCCTTGGGATAGCGGCTTGAAAAGTTTTCAGATTGGGGCTGTGGGCTCGAGGCTTTCTTGAGCGCTCATTGAATCCTGCATAATTTCCTCCTTCATTCGAACGATGGCCCTTCAGAAGTTCTAGCTATCATGGTCGTAGTTTGAAAGTGCTTATGTATGAACATGCGTCGCGTCGCCTGCAGGCTACATGAAGATGGAGGCTATATAGGGCATCTGTGTTCATGGCGAGGTCAAGACCTGTAAAGTTCTGTGTGTGACAGGCCCAGACACCTCACAAGTGGACACTGCGCTTCTTCTACTTCCTGTACACGCAGCTGTACTTCATGCTGCTGTTGTGTTGACGCCCGGCCATTGGAGAGAGTAATAGGCATGCGAGGATCTTTGCGAAACCTTACTACTTGTGGGATATTGTGAGCTGAGGCGAAGGCGTTAGATGTCAAGGTGTTGCAAGAGCAGAAATCATCCCTCCTCATGGGTTCTGGACATCCTGCTAGCTTGCCCAAGCATCACCATCAACAATATTGCTGTGGCTAGTTGCGCTGCTATTGATACGGCAATATATGGGCTGTCAGTATATTCCTTGGGGGCCACAGATCTTGTTCCCCTTGCAGTGCAATTGTTACGGGCGTTTTATCTTCTAGCACGACTGGTGCGGTATGAGTGCAGTGAGCGCTCCTGTTCTTTCCTCGTCTACGTCTGTCAGTGAGAATGGTTATGAACTGTTGCAGTTGAGCCTTGCTTTGCTAATGTGTCCTTTCGCATCGAAGGCATTGCCAGCCTTCGTTACCTGGCGCGATGGTACTGCTGGGCGCATCTCGGTTCTGCGCTTTACGTGCCTGTCTATTGGAGGTGCTATTCGTGTTATGTGCGGAGTTCTGGGAAACGGAGCGGTAGTCCGGGTTGTGAATGACTGCGCGGAATCTGCGGGAGAATATGCAGTCCCGCTACTGGCCAAGGAAGGTCTTTAGCTACGTCAGAGACTCAGCTGGCATAGCCGTATTTTTTTGTTGGCAGCACATCGCGGAAGGGACATTTTGTCAAGCTTGTCCTTGCCATCCCTATAATGTTCAACATTAGACCCTCACTTGACGCCTTGCATGCCTGCTGTGCATGATTGTGAATGCTAAGTTGGTCTTTCTCTGATCCTGTACTTCTTGCAAGTCCTCACTGTCGGGAACTTCGACCACATTGTGCTAGCATGTCTCGACACCGGCACGTCATTGATCTCCATCCCCGAAGGCTTCGACGCAGGGTCAAGACCAGCGCAGCCAAGAGAATTCCTCGAGTAAAAATGCGATCTGTAGTCTGTAGCTGCAGACCTGCAACTCGAATGGCTGACAGCTCCAGACACCCCTGAGAGGCCAATTTCTGCCAGTTGTTTTGGGGCTGTTTGGGACAGCAGCGATTGAAGAGTGCGCGCTGAGCGGGGGCGTTGAGCTCCTCTGCCCATGCTCGGTTGCAAGCTCTGCTACTTGGTGGGGAGTTCCGATTCTTGGGGGTGGAACAAAACCAACTGAACTATTCTCTGTCCGTCTGAGGCTCCATAGCTTTCAGGGTTGTTTCGGGCATCGATGTTCATGTGGGGAACGGATACGAAGTTACTAAACAGCAAGTGCTTGTAATAGCATTATTCGCATTGAAGCTGACGATGATGTTTGCAAGGCATTGTTAACTCAAACCAAATTTTGGGCATTTCCGGTTAGCGGTCTGCCGAAAACTTTGCGTGAGGCCAAGCACTTAAGCACAGCAACCTATCCCAGAGGCGTGACCGTAGTCTTCAGGATCCCGCTTTGAGTTGAGTTATGCATTAGACGTAGATGACAAGGTATTTTAAGGGGCTGCGCCCAAAGCCGGGCAGCACAGGCAGCAGCCCAGATGCTTGGAACCGCTTTGAGGCGCGCGCGGGCGCACAATCTAAGCGCCTCCTGAAAAGGGAGCCAAGGAGCTTCTGGCCCAAGGCCAAAAATGACAAAACCGAGTACCCCAACATCGGGGGGGGCAGTGAAGGAGGTGGGGCAGTGTGGGCGGTGAGGGCTTGGGGCTGCGAACAAGACACTATTTTAATGAACTAAATAGCTCATTGTTTGACAAATATGGGTTTTCGGTGGCATTGACATTATCATTCAAATTGTTAGAATATCTAACAAATCGGTGAAAACTATGATTTAGATCTGGAGTTGATTGAATCCTCCGTGAGCATTTTTGAGTGGGTTGACTTTGCGCGTACCATGAGGATTGCCCACCGAAAATTTAGGGGGTGCGGGGGTGTGAGGGCGTGGGGGCGGTGTCGGGCTGCGCTGGAGCCCTGTAGATTTGTTTTGTTTCAACCTCCATGTCTGGCTTGCAAGCCTTGCTCTAGCAAAAGAACCGGACGGCAGTGGCAGTGCCGCAGACCTCATGTCACGACCACTCCATTGCTCCACGGGCCCACGTGGGGGCTCGCGGGCACGATGGGGCAGAGCGTCTTTTTTTGGGGTCCCGACGGGGAGCCCACAAAAAGACATCATGAACACCTTCAGCGCGCACGCCTCCCGGGTGCCCTTTGGGGACCGCCGCAGCGGCGCGCATTGTGAGCATCAGCGGCCCCGGGACCGAGGCCGCTATAGGCCGCTGATGACCATGCACGCTAGTGCGGGGGGTGCCAACAATGGGTCTTCACTGACGCCTGCAGGGGTCGGCGGATAGCACGCAAGTTTCTTCAAAGGGTTGTTTTTGGAGAGTTCCTTCGGTTCATGCCGCTTGTGATCGAAGGCGACTCCTCTGACCATCTACTTTGGTGAGAAGCCGATCACCCTTCAGCCCGCGAACATGTTCATGAAGGTTGGGAGCTACCACGGAGAGGAGCGCTTCAGTACCCGATGCTTTCAGACTCTGTGTGGACCTGCGCCCTCCTCAGCCCTTCCCAACAGGGTCCTGCCAGGACATTTGCATGACCGGCCTGTCATCTTCGAATCAGGGCATCTGGATACTCGGGGATGTATTTCTGCGACATGCATCTTGCCTGCTGGGCCTTGTGTTTCAGGTTCAGCACCCTACATCCTGAACCCTATTGTTTCGAGCCCTGCGATCTTTGCAGGTGGCGTTTGCCTTGAACCATTCAGCCCTGAAACCCTGAATTTGCGGGCGTTTTCAAAGGCGTGGCCGCGGTGTCGGGTTTAGGGTTTGTGAAGCCTGTTCTTGCTCTCCCCGACACCCAGGGCCACAGCAATCGGAGCATCTCTGCAACCGGTTCATGTCCCGATCGATATGTAATCTGATGTCACAGAGAAACGCAAAGCGGAGAGGGAGGGTTGGGGGATGGTTTCAACATAAGGCCCGAGGCAGGGGCAGCCCCACGTTGGAGTTGCCTCTTGCATCACCCCTTTATACACAGGGACGAGAGGTGCACGGGGTGCTGTCCGGGAGTGATGCCCTAAGGTCTACGCTGTGCACAGCTTCAACCGGAAAGAAGTCGCTATGCTCCCCTACGCCGATGCGGTGGTTGAGACTGTTGAGATCCCAGCCCATCTGTGGGTCTGGGCAGCTACGGCAGCTGCGGCTGGATTCCTGGCCTCCATGCTGGTGCTTCTCTTCACGAAGAAATCCGTGACGGAACCGACCGTGGGGGCAGCAGTCCGAGTTCCGTTGCTTGAGCAGCAACATGAGCAGACAGCTGGACTCTAGACTCTTGCAGATCGTCTTGTTCACTCCGTGTGCAACGGGCAAGTCGGGCAAATTGGGCGGATGGGGCAACCGAGGTTGCTTCAGCCAGAAGCGATGTCAATGTCTAGAATCTGAGCTTCGTAGAGTCGGGTAGATCAAAGAAGTCTTTCCATCCTTTTGTTTATATCAGCTTGGGAGCTGCGCTGGCTCTGTACCTCATAGGCGATGTTGAACAGATCTTGGCCGCCTGTGCGTGAAGATGCTTTTGCGGTTCTGACGTTTTCAGGGTTTATGAGGACTGGCCTGGTGGGTCCCGGGAATCCAACCTTCGAAGTAGGGATGGGAGGATTTGTGTTTTTTTGAGGTTTTCGGAGGCACGAAAGCACGATGTGAAGATACGCATGGTTCACACGGGATGACGTTGCAGAGCAGCATGACTGGGCCTGTGCGTCCCGCACTCTGCCACAGTCCAGCGCTCCAGTCAAGTATGAGACTATCCAGTTTCTCGAGCCCTGGAGCCCGAGCCGCCGTTCTGGCTTGCTGTTCCTTCGGCTCAAGGAGGGAGAAAGCCAGCTTTTCGGCGCTTCGCAGCTCGTGAGGTGGCTT